CGCTCAATACCTTAAAACCAATTCATTCTTCACAACACTTTCAAGCTAATATTACTCATACTGTGAAGGGAACTTATTTGAATTTTCCATGAATGATATAATTTATTCAGAAAAAAAATATTTAGAGCGAACAATTGTTTTCAATAAATTCTTCTTCAGGCTCTACAATTATAAATCCATTAATTTAAGCATACAATAGCCAGCCAGTCAGTAAAGGCAAATTAGAATCATATCGGAAAGTGTATTGTGGAACAAGTATTAGATGAGGTGGGGTGGAACAATAGTCACTTAGTTTTATTTAATATGCATAGTCAATGAGAGCATGGGACAAAATGAGATGAAGTAATTTAATTTAATGATGTGTGTGTATATATATAAATATAGTCAACAGAAAATACAGGTTTCGAGAGTGAGTGTAATCAGGGTGTGTGAGACAATATGAAAATAAACCAACGAATGGGGCGGTCTAGACATAAGTTCAAGGTTGAAAATAACGACAGTAAGAATGATTGTAAAATGATAATAACGATGATATGGTGTAAAATTTCAAGCACTATTGGTGAATGATTGTCGAATAATAATGATAATGAATATAATGAAGTGGAATGAACAGGATTTTGTAAATACGGTAACACGTTAGAAAAGCACTACTTAAACCTAAGGTCATAAAATCATAAGAAAGGTCATGAAATCATAAAAGTCGAAAATGAACGTTTGTCAATGAAACAGAGGAATAGAAGAAGAAGAAAACAAAAGAAAATTGTGAAAGGAATTTATGGTGTTAATGGAGGATTTGTTGGCCAAAGTAAACATAGAGGTTGACCATACTTCTTCTGTATGCAAAGAGATGGTCTTCTGGTATTAATTGCAACCGCTTCAGCTACTGATAGAAGACGTAGTCGAGCTCCTCTAGATAAATTACTAGGAACGCTGTAAATAACTGAGAACGCCTGGTCAAGTTTTATCGGGTGTCCAGTATCTACCAAGTAGACTAAGACTGCACTATTTACGCATTTGGTTACTCCTTTACTCAACCATACAGGTACATGTTCACGCGCGCATGATTCTAATTTGCCTTTACTGACTGGCTGGCTATTGTATGCTTAAATTAATGGATTATAATTGTAGAGCCTGAAGAAGAATTTATTGAAAACAATTGTTCGCTCTAAATATTTTGTTTTGAATAAATTATGGGAATATTCAATTTAATGATATAATTGTATCTCCTAGCAAACTTTAGCGTGATCAGTTATCAATCTGTATCAGTAGTGATCGTTTTTATTGACTTGGAATTTGGTTTTACTTGTCATGTGGCTTATTCTTTGCTAACTGACATATTTGATCTATAATAAATGTATCTGTTCATCGCTGATTCGTCTGGGTACTAGGCTTTCTAGGAATTGATGTTCCCGCAGTTTAAAATCTCCATATCTATGGCTTTTGGGGCTCCATGGCTTATCTTCGGTTGGTTAGAGTGCTGAGTCGTGGTACCGGCTTTCTCTAATCTCTGCAGCTTAGCTTTCACTAGCTGGTGTGAAGCGTACTGAACAGGCCTTTTTGAGCGAAAAATTGGTGTGGCGTTGGGTCGTTGGCTTTTTCAGCATCCCATATCTGACTGGAGCAAAGTCTTGAATTCCTGAAGGAAACTCGAAGATTCTTTCGCTTCAACTCTGTCGCATATACGATTGACGGGAATTCCGAGAACCGAAGGCTTTCAGACCAATCTAAAACCCAATAAATCCAGGTTTGCATTATTTATAAAGCATGTAACGATATATTAGATCTTACAGAACACGGATTCGCATTTTAACTTACCGGTCAAAGGGAGGAGCCACATCGAAACCATCCACTACAGGTAGAAATTTTCTCTATTACTTCAAAACACTAGATTACACAACATTGCTTAAGCCATTGCTTTATTTCCGTTATCGACGAAATCATCTTAACAGGCTGTACAGTCGTATTTGAAAAGAAATATGGTGACCTTCTTGAATCGCTGGACTACGTGAATTTCCATCTGAGACAGTACATCTCATTTTATTTAATTCTTGTTTTTACATAATCATTCAGTTATATCCGTGGGTCTCCAATTGTATTCGTGCATATTTCTATTGGTTTGCATCCTATTATTGAGCATTTCTGTGGGACCAAAGAAAAACGCCCTAGTGGATTATATTGTATTCTTCAGATCTAACATCATTGAGTCATATGATGTACTGGAGATGACTACGGTTTTACTGGAAACTCCTGGATGAAGAGTAAATATTGTGCAATCAGCTACGCTGAGAATTGTGCATATTGTGTAAACTTATTGTACATAATAAAGTCATTGTTATTACTGTATTATTATTATTTGTATTTACCGAAAATGTATAATGGTTTACCACAGTCGTCTTTCAAGATTATCTACAAGGTGAAGCCAAATGATACAAAGGGTGTTAGGTTTCGGCATTACTCGTGTACGAAAGAGGCGTTGGCGATTCGTCAGTACAACTTCGAACTCTGTATACAGAAAACGTTTGTCTAGTCTCCAGTCTCTTATTCTACCATGGTCTTAACCTCTTCATTACTCGTTCCCTGTTAATTTTTTATTTTTAATGATTAGTTTGCTTTTATTTTTAATGATTAGTTTGCTTTTATTTTTAATAATTAATTCATTATTATCACCCTCAGATGTTCCTTTTGTAAATTTTCTCACCCTCTTCACACTTGTTAAACTGACACTCAACTACCATCACCTTTATTCTCACTCCATAACCTTATCAAGTTTCTAACGCTTTCTTCCTTTATGTTGTTATTGAGTTTTACGTAATTTATAACTTTATTTTTACATTTGAAGCCACTTCTGAGTAATTATATCAATTTTGTAGCACCTCTCCTATTGCTCAATAATGGACTTCTATACATTTTTGGTAGATATAAATACGACTGTACATACTACCTGTGAAGATGACTTCGTCGAGAAAGGACTATTTCAAGTGTTGGTTTGCAGGGATTTGATTTAGGATTTCATCATGAGCTGACACATCGGTTAGAGGATCATTGGAAAACCTTGGAGTACTGGACAGATGTTTCGACCTAGTTTGGGACCCTTCATCAGTACATACCCACAGAGTTTCTAGCCTAGGACTTCTGGTTACAAAGAGAACTCGCAGACCATTAAGCCTCTGGCCACTCAGTGCATGAATTCCAACTTCGGCCAATTCACGCACGATATTGCGCGACTGACACTAATGAATGTCATCGCTGATGAGTATTTGTCCTCACACCCGAACGACCTGTTGTACCCCACTGGTTTGAATACTACTGAGTAGTCGCAAACTAGTACGAAACAGCTGTATAGTACTGCCTGCAGGTTTTCCAATGGTTTTCTAATCGATGTCAGGTCATGATGTAATCCTGAAACCAATCAAATCCCTGCACACCAACACTTGACTTGAATATCAATCACTAGTGACTGGCCCTATTCAGGTAGGTAGGTAGTTACATGGGTTCTGGTGAGAAGTCGTGACCACTGGCATGGGTACAGCAGGTCGGGTGTGAGAATAAATACTTGCCAGCAATGACACTGACTAGTACCAGTCTTGCTATATCGTGTGTGAACTGGGAGAAGCTGAAATTCAAAGACCGACTGGCCATTAGATTGGTGGGTCTCAGTGGCTGAATGATCTGTGAGTTCTCCTTGTAACCAGAAAGTCTTGGGTTCGAATCCAGTCAGTGGGGTGAGTGCGTACTGCTGAAGAGTTAGTTCCAAACTAGACTGACGAAACACCTGGGTGTCGAGTACTCCCTGGCTGGTTTTCCAATGGTTCTCTAACCGATGTGTCAGTTCACGATGAAATCCTGAAAGAAAATTTTCCTCACTAAATTGTCTTTTATTTTCTTCATGACTCAATGTGGTGGTGGTGGTGGGGGCTGTTTTCGGTGATTATTGTGTTGTTGTTAGTAATATAACAAGTGCTTTCTATGATACTCGACTTTATCCACCCCACTGCCAGAGTTCGGACCCATGACCTTCCAGTTACGAGGCGAGTTAGCTCGTAGAACATTAAGTCACTGAGACTCGCCAATCCAATGGCCAGCCAGCCCATGAATCACAACTTCTGCCAACTGACGCACGATGTGGCACGGCTGGCACCAGCCAATATCATCGCTGGTGAGTATTTGTCCTCACACCCGACCTGCTGTACCGACGCCAGTGGTCACGACTTCTCACTAAAACTACCCAGGTAACTACCTACCTGAATATAGCAAGTCACTAGTGAGCATCAGATCGATATTCAAGTGTTGGTTTGCAGGCATTTGATTGGCTTCATGATTTCATCATGAACTGATATCGGTTAGAGGACCATTGAAAAATCTGGGAGTACTGAACAACCAGTTGTTTCGTCCCAATTTGGGACTCTTCATCAGTACGCGACTAGAGGGGTACATCCAGCAGGTTGGGTGTGAGGGCAAATACTTACCAGCGATGACATTGGCTAGCGTCAGTCGCGCAATATCGTGCATGGATTGGCAGGTCTCAGAGGCTTAATGGTCTACCAGGTAGCTCGTCTTGTAATGAGAAGATCGTAGGTTCGAACCCTGGTGGTGGTGGGGTGGGTGCGTACTGCTGAAGAGTTAGTTCCAAACTAGGCTGACGAAACAGCTGGTTGTCCAGTACTCCCTGGCTAGTTTTCCAATGGTTCTCTAACCGATGTGTCAGTTCATGAAGAAATCCTGAAGGAAAAATTTTCTCCACTGAATTGTCTTTTTATTTTCTTCATGACTCAATGTGGTGGTGGTGGGGCTGTTTTCAGTGATTATTGTGTTGTTGTTGTCGTTGGTATTGGTGGTAGTTATGCAACAAGTGCTTTCTAAGCTACTTAACTTTATTTTCAAGAATGAAACAAACACTCCTTAACGATTATTAATCTACACCATTTTTGATTGCTTAAAGTGTCTACTGAAATCTCTGTATAAATAGTATCCTTTATATAAAACTGTATCTATAGTCTGAGAAAAGAAGAATAAACACATTCAAGTAGAACGACAAAACTTGAGCACATATTTTTTTATTTTAGAAAGTTTCATCTTTTAAAAGAAGACGATATAATAAGGAGTGATTTTTACATCAACTAGTGAAATTAAAAATTCATTCTATAAAATGAAGAATAAATTTCAAATTCTTATCTTAATTTTTGTTATAATTAGCTATGTACAATGTAAGTTTGATTGTTTAATTCAATGTTGCATCTTTTTCTTTTTCTTGAGGTTTCTATGAGACAATCAAACGATTATTATTATTATTGTTTCCTTTAATTCCTAGAGGAACATAGGGCTTCACCCGTGCGTCTCCATTGCGTTCGGTTCTCTGCCAATGTTTTCACCTGGCTCCAAGTCTGCCCACACACTTTCATCTCCTCTTCACATGACCTCCTCCAAGTCACCCTCGCACTGACGACCAACTCGCCGCTTCCATTTCGGGTTCCACTCGAGCAATGGCTTGTCTAGTGATGTCACTTGATGACCAATCCATCTCCATTTATTCCCGCCTATTTGTTTCACAATCGGTCCCTGGTTGGTTCGCTCCCAGAGATCCTTCCCTGTGTTGCTGATCTTTTCTGGCCATCTGATCTTGAGTATTGAGCGAAGACAACTGTTAATGAAGTTTTGTAGATTGTTTGAGATGCTCTTTATGACGCGACACCAACTCTCTGATCCGTATAGTAGCACTGACTGACACCACATTGGAGTTGAAAATCCGGATCTTATTTTTGATGCTGAGTGTTGTTGACCTCCACACAGGCTTGAGAGTAGTGAAATATTCCCATATCATCAGGCCTCTCTGGTGGTTTCCGAAATCTTGGAATTTCGTCGTAAGGTCAATAACGCCATTGATATCATTTCCTCGCTTGATATTCTTGTTCAGACCACGGTGCCGGAAATTCAAAAAGCCTGGACACTTTCGTGTTTAGTTGTGACACTAACTGCAGCTAATCGAGCTTATTTATTGATATGTAGACCTAATGCATTTGTGGGACAAAGCGAAAATTTCATGGGCTATGTCTGTAGTAACTTTGAGCCAAGGTTCGAGCTCATCGGTAGACAGTGATAACTTCAGGTGAACAATTTCAACCGTTTGATAAATTTGAATAAGACATTAAGAAGACAAATTTCGCGAGATGATATCGTCATTTCGTAGTTTCTTTACAACCGCTTGACAACTAACATGGTTAACAATAATAAAATAAAATAAAGTGCATGACAATTACTGAGTTAAATAGAAACAAAAATACATACTATTTTTCATAAACAGACATGGAGTGGACAATATCTTCATTTCACCAGTTTTGTTCCTATCCAGTTAAAACGTTCCCTAGTGAAATGTTTGTTCTCAAGGGCCCGAAAAATATGCACGAGTGACACATTGATGGATGAGTTTCGAAATATACATTCGGTTATATTAGATAATGGTTATCCGGAAAACTTGATCACTTGTCACAGTAAAGAAAGACCACATTTCGAAAAGACAGCTTCTGTACCAAAGAAAGCTATCTTTATTAACCTAACATTCAAGGGTGATCAAATTATGCAGTTGACAGCTTGCTCGAAGACTTCGATCAGCCATCAAACGCATATTCTACACCGCATCTCTTTTTCTCACTTGCCGAACATTTTCGATCCCTGTACCTACGATTAAAGGACGAAATTTTGTGGATTCTACTTCAAACTGTATCTACAAGTTCACTTGCAGCTGCGGTGACACCTATACAGTGTAGAACCAATAGAATGTTCCAATGTGGTCGTCGAAAAGAACATGTTCCAAAATGGTTATTACGACACATAGAAAATCCCAATGCGATTAATCTGAATAGAAATCCATCATCATCCATTGCAAAGCACTAATTAATGTCAGGTCACAAAATCAATATTAATGACTGCTTAACAATTGAAGGTGATGGAAGCACTTTGGATTAATCACATGCAGCCTAAACTGTGTACAAAAAACAATAGACTTCAACCTTTTCGTCTATCATGGGCTACTTGACCTTTTAAATATGATTGGTCATTAGTATGTACTTTTGTTTTTATTTAACTGAGTAATTGTCATGAGCTTTATTTTATTATTGTTAACCATGTTAGTTGTAAAGCGGTTGTAGTAAAACCACGAAATGACGATATCATCTCACGAAATTTGTCTTCTTAATGCCTTATTCAAATTTCAACCGTGACAAGAGCCCAATGTTCGTCTTGCTTTTTCTGCAGTGTAACCGAAGTTTTCGCTAGCTGGTGCTTTCACATAGTACGAAGCTATAATCAAATATATATAAAGTGGGAATAAATTATAGGGTCTATAAATGAACTTAAACAGATGGTCCGAATAAAAGTGTGTAAAATATTTTGGGTCATTGAAAAGTTGTACATCTAAAGGATAAGACCAACCGTTAGCCCTAAATCGACGCCAATATTACATTTATTCCGAATGTTGTTCCTGTTTGTATCTCATAACCCTCATCTGACGGTTAAGTCTAAATCCGTTAAAACCACACATACTTGGCCACTTGATGGCTGGCATATTTTATCTTCACCACAAAACATGGGGGAAGCTTTTCGACTAATGGACTTATGTCAGTCTTTTCGTTCAGTTCCTACAGTAGATTTCACCGATTTTAAGTTCATTTAGGGACTCAGTCATTCGCCTTTAGTTTTCTAATAAATTCTTTTATTTTTAGAAAATGTATGTGTAGAAATCTTTTGAAAGTTTTATTGGTTATACAGCAAGCCTACCCAACATGTCAGATAATGACACCAACGTACTATTCCACACACCTGTGTACCGTATTCACTACTATACAAATAAAGCAGTCGCATTATCTATGACGCATGTATGTACTGTATTCTCTGGTGCTACGAATAATCTAGGAGAATTTTTCTTTGTAATATGGTGCCAGGTCATCTGAACAGCCTATAATCACATGTATTCTCGAATATGGGGCAGTGAAGACTATATAAATGATTGTTCTGCCAGCAACCGTATCCCAAATTCATGTCTGAATAGGTAAATCTCCACAGTTTTTCTCCTCGTTATAAGTATCGGGATTTATAGTAGGACTGCAGTCAGTATCTTCTGGGGCTGGCAAATAATAATAGGAAACCATTTTGTATGTAGCTTATTCAAAAACAAAACTACTGAACAAAGCAACAACAACAATTGTACCAGGATAATAATATGAGCTCATCTTTTATTATTTCGAGGATTCTTCTCAACTGGTTACAACCTGAACGATGAAAAATATGAATTACATTACATTAAAGATTTGAACATAATTTTCCACGATCACAAGGAGTAATTGGTTGGTAGGAAGTAAAAGTAACATTGGTCCGGAATGATTTAACTAATTAAGAGTTACAAACACTGACTATTTATAGAATAATTCAAATGAACTGTGATCAATATTTGACAGTTTATAAATATTTATAGAATAAATAGCCAATTAGGCTTGGAAACAAAAACAAGCTGTTGTATATTTTTGTTGTTGTCACCAGGGCAGTGCAAGATTCACCGCTGTCTCTTTCTGCGTACATAGATTTGGTTTAAGTCGTCTGATAGCAATTGCTTCAGCAAAGCGGAGCAAGTTAGGTTTCTTTTGCTTGTTGATTATTTTGAATGACTTTAAGTTGTCTACATTATGACCAGTGTCTAATAAATGACGCGCAATTGCACTGTTTAATAATTGTGGACCTTTCAGTCTCAGGTTCTTTGGTATGTGTTCAGAAATGCGGACAATAACCCTTCTTTCTGTTTGTAACTTTTAATTAGTTAAATCATTCCGAACTAATGTTACTTCTTTTACTTCCTACCAATTACTCCTTGTGATCGTGGAAAAGTATGTTCAAATCTTTAATGTAATGTAATTCATATTTTTCATCGTTCAGGTTGTAACCAGTTGAGAAGAATCCTCGAAATAATAATAAAAGATGAGCTCACATATTATCCTGGTACAATTGTTGTTCTTGCTTTTTTCAAGTTTATTAATGGGAAGAATTGCATGAAGTTTTTGAACAAAACTACTGAGTTGATCTGCACCATATGACATTATTCTTTTATCCCTTAGTCTATGCAGTGTACTCTTGTCAATATTTAGAGCGGAAGGTTCCATTGTTAACTTAAAAACATGTAAGTGAGTGTTGAAATAAACGCCCTCAACACACACTGTATTCTGGTGTAAATAACACGAGCCAAGATACATACTACCTCCTTTACGAGTATAATCCTAATGAATAGCTTTAATGTGCGTCGGTAGCACAGAGGTTAGGACTCTCACCGACCATGTACATGGTCCGGGGTTCGAATTCCTGCCGACGCACACCTGATATCAATGGTCGACCTGAAAAATTTGGG